CCCCCCCCCCAATTTCTTTTACCTTTGCCTCCACTCCTTTCTTCCTTCTACATTTCTGGATGTCTCGTTCTCCTCGACTGTCAGTTACTTCACAAGTGTACAGAATTTTATAATAGACAAAACTGTATTTCTGTTATTTTACCTAATTATTACAACTTTGTAAGGTAAGCTGGGGGACTGAATTTCCCAGTTTTATAAATGAGGAAACCAAAGCCCATATATAGTGAACCAGTATTCCAGAAGCTGCAACAGCTAGTGTTAAAGTGGACAGAACATATTTCTTTTTGTTCCAGTGAGCCTCGTGCTGCTAGAGATAACGGTGTACTTCAACTAATTGAAAAGATGGGAAAACTGAAGACAGAAATAGGAAGAGTTTGGGCCTAAATTCACACATTGAGTCAGTGACAAAACTGGAATCAAAACAATCTGCTTCCTTGTTTAATTCTGTAACAGAAAACATCTCCATAAAGGTGTTGGGATGCTTTTCTCCATCCTAAAACTCCTTCCTCTTTTTTGACTCAGCTCAAGTGGTGACTCCTTTAAGAAGCCTTTATGTTTATCAGAACCTTTATCTTTTTTTCTATCCCTCTCCATGAGGGAAAAATACACTAGTTGGATGCCAGCTCCCAAAACATTTTTTTAAAAAGGAGGCTGAAACTTCTTTGTGAAGCATCGTGTATGAATGGTGTGAAAGATTAGTAGGGGAAGGTTTGTGCTGCATAAGTAAGGGAAAGACAATTTAGAGGTCCTAATCCCTTTCCAAAGGCATAATTTCTGTCTACATTCTAATGTCATCTCTAGCTTTCTACAAGAACCCAGCACAGAACACCTCTTATTCTATTTATTTGCATCATTACTTTTCCTTTCTTTATTTTCAAAATTGTTACCTTCAAATAGAGGTTAATGGTAGAGAATGTGTGAACTTCTGGGCCTTGATTTATGGCCATTCTTGTGTAAAACACTACATACAGCCAATCTGTCTTGTCAGTAACCTGTGTAGTGAAATGAAGAGGTCTTATCTTAAGCTTAAAGTGTGTCATTGCCTGGAGTTTAGACAAGTTTGAGCACATCTTGGAAACTGGTAGGGCAGACACCAGAAGTCAATTGCAGAACGAACTGCTGACCTCTTGAGAAATTACTTATCCTAAGAGAGGAGGGAGTCAGGCAGACAACCTAGGGTAAATAGAGAATCAATTCTGAGTATTGCAGGGGATTTGGTTGTACAACAAAGTGTATTTATTTTAAGCTAGGTACACAACATCTCTCTGCAGTGATTTAATTGTAAATAGAAAAGTAGAGAAAATTGAGTGAAATCTATTGCAGTTTTGCTCTGATGACTCTCAGGACTTTTTATGCCTGGAACAAAGGACCATTTGGATTTTAATTTTTTTAATGTTTCTTTTTGAGAGAGAAAGAGAGAGCAAGCATGGGAGAGCCAGAGAGCTAGACACAAAATCCAGGACAGACTTCAGGTTCTGAGCTGTCAACACAGAGCCCAACGTGGGGCTTGAACTCATGAACCGCAAGAACATGACCTGAGCCGAAGCTGGACGCTTAACCTACTGAGCCACCCAGGTGCCCCAGGACCATTTGGATTTTAAAGAAATACATATAAGTAAATAATCAGGAGGAAGAACTACTAGAAGAATAGGCTTGTGACGCTGCTAGTCAATTTTAGTGGGGGAAAACCTGATGCACTGTTTTATTTAGTGGTGTTTCAGATTGAGAGGTGCTGGACCCAGAGACCTAAGCGGAGAAAAGCTCTATTGATAGCAAAGGTAGAAACTTCATATCCCTGCCTCTACCATTCACATTTCTCCTAGTCTAACTTCCTTGATCCCAAGAAAAATGCCTCCAGAAAACACCAGAGACAGAGTTTGATGGCCAAGCTACAATATCTGCTCTTCGAGGCTGATCCTGTTGGTTTCCTGGACTCCTGGTCCAGTCAGTTCCTATTCCCTTCTCTGTGAGAGCCCAGTTTTCCTCTCTCATTGTAAATGTTTCAAAAGTAAGAAAATTGTCTCCTGCAATATAAAATCCAAAGAGACAAAAGAAGAGTTGGGATTTCACCATCATTCAGCCATATTTGGCAAACTCTCAGAGAATTTACAAAGATAATTGCACAGGCAATGATCCCTGGGACAAGAGTTTCTCTTACCTTTGCATTTATTTTTAAGACAAATAAATGAGTCATGAACCTATAATGACAGTCCAAATGATAGATGCATGCATAATTAGACTAGAATACATTCATTTAAAACATGAGTTGGGAAAAAGTACAATTTGATGTGGCAAACGGGAGAGCAGATATAACACAATTTATTCATTCATTGAGAACTTACATGTAAATCTGTAAAGAACATATCACATGCAATACCCAAAAACTAAATAATCCAGTTAAAAAATGGGCAGAAGACATGAATGGGCACTTCACCAAAGAAGACATACAAATGGCTAACAGACACATGAGAAAATGCTCAACATCATTCATCAGCAGGGAAATACAAATCAAAATGACAATGAGATACCACCTCACACCTGTCAGAATGGCTAAAATTAACAACTCAGGAAACATGAGATGTTGGTGAGGATGCAGAGAAAAGGGGAACCCTCTTGCACTGTTGGTGGGAATGCAAACTGGTGCAGCCACTCTGGAATACGGTATATAGGTTCCTCAAAAAGTGAAAAATAGAACTACCCTACGACCCAGCAATTGCCTGACTAGGTATTTATCCAAAGAATACAAAAATACTGATTTAAAGGGGCACATGCACCCCAATGTTAATGGCAGCACTATCAACAATAGCCAAATTATGGAAAGAACCCAAATATCCATTGAATTATGAATGGATAAAGAAAAGGTGATTTAAATATGATATATGATATATGATATATGATATATGATATATGATATATATATATGTATATGTATACACACATGTATTGGAATATTACTCAGCCATCAAAAAGAGTGAAATCTTGCCATTTGTAATGACATAGATGGAACTAGAGTGTATTATGCTAAGCAAAATAAGTCAGAGAAAGACAAATAACCATATGATTTGACCCATGGATTTTAAGAAACAAAACAGATGAACATAGGGGAAGGGAAGAAAAAATAAAATAAGATAAAAACAGAGGAGGCAGCAAACCATAACAGAATCTTAACTGTAGAGAATGAGCTGAGGGCTGCTGGAGGGGAAGTGGGAGGGGTGGGCTAAATGGGTGATGAGCGTTAAGGAGGGCACTTGCTGGGATAAGCACTGGGTGTTATATGGAAGTGATGAATCACTGGGTTCTACTCCTGAAACCAATACTACACTGTATGTGTAGTGTAGTGAATACTACACTAACTTGAATTAAAATAAAAACTGGGAAGAGAGAAAAAAAAACAGAACTTGCATGTAAAGAATAGGGCTATTCAAGAGAGGAGGGTAGAGAATACAAATGTGAATTAAACCCAGTATTGGTCCTCAAGAAGATTAGGTTCAAGTTGGGAAGCAGAAAATAAAAGGAGTTTTAAAAGAATTATAAGCAGTATTTGTGTATCAGACACTATACTAGGTACAAGGTGGGAATAAAAGTGATGTTTGAGTGTGGAAAGAGAATACTGGAATGAATCTACCATGATGCTTAGCCTCAGGAAATTTATGGGTGAGTGGAAAAAAATAAAATATGAAGGTTGTGTAATGTTTTTTAGTAGGAGACTTAAGGAGATGAATACATACATTTCACACCTAAAATGATTAATAAGGTCATACATTTTGCAAGGCACTGTACTAAATGATGTAGGATATGGGAAGAACAATGAGAAATCTATAAATGTACTTTGAACCATTGAGGGCATTTATATTAGAATGAAGGATGTATCATGAGACATGTAAAATCACACAACTTTCTCTGTGTAAAGTTGACCTGCCTCGAAACTCTTTTTTTTTTTTTTTGAGATGTAATTCAGATACCATAAAAATTACCATTTCAAAGAGTATGATTCAGTAGTTGTTAGTAAACTCACAGACTGGTGTAACTCTCACCACTAATTTCAGAACATTTTCGTCACCCCAAAAAGAAACCCTGTACCCCTTATCACTCATCCCGTCTTCAAGCCCCCAAACAAGTCCCTTGCAAATTCTAATTTATTTTCTGTATTTATGGATTTATCCCTTCTGAAAATTTCATATAAATTAAATCATACAGTAGGTTACCTTCTGTTTCTGACCTTTTTTTTTTTTTTTTTTT